TGTGGTACTGCAGAACCCTGCCTGTTGTTGTCTCCGGACCTGAACTTACTACTGAACCGTTTACTGTACTACCCAGAATTGAAAGCAACATTGCCGTTTCCCCCTTTGAGGAATGCACTACAAACGATTGATGAGCTCTCCTAATCAACTTGAGCCACTGGTAGCCTATGAATAAGTGAGCATTCCGCCCCCAGCCGAATATTTTTCAAGGAGGGTGCGTATTGATTTACCAGCTGGAAAGAAGTCTCAGACTCCAAGCCTTTTCCAATCTACAGCTTTTGTTGGATACAACGGGAACACGTTCGAAGCGCCCAGGTGTCGAATTGCAAGCAGCAACGAACACGGACTCTTGTCTCCGAACTTGCAGGACTATGGCTTTGCAACCATCCACGCACAGTGGGACAAGCTGACTGTAGAGTACGTCAATGACCAGGCCAGAAAAAAGCAGCTGCACATGGCATATGAAAGCGACATTTCACTCAGCACCCTGCAAGTGCTCCAAAGTCTGTATCGTTGTCCATTTGGCTTGATTGTATTCGCCACTCCTGTACGACTTCAACCATTCGCAAACGATCATCCTGCCACGCAAACCAACGAGTCATCAGTTCAGCATTCACCCGCTGCTCAGGGCAGGGTTTTGTGGGACCCCATCGTGATCCCAAAGGTGGATCTCGTTCAGGACTGGGACAGGTCAAAAGAGAAGCAATGTGTTGTTGGAGAGATCAGAGACTTGCCTGGTAAGCTTCAAAAAGAGACAAATGAGAGGAGGTAGCCCGGTAGGCTGTGAAGAGGAGTTGCTGAAGGTTAAAGCTAGCCGCGTGGGAAACGTGTAAAGCGGATGTGAATGCATGATGAGCATGATAGTGCTCACGCAGGAGGGTCTCTTGAAGAAGCTGCGCGAAGCAGCGATAAAGTCGGACGTGCCTGCCACGAAGGATGCCATCGGCAAGGCCAAGGCTCATGGCGCCCCTTGGCAGAATCCTATGGTGCCTTTCCGGCAGCTATCTTCTCTGAGCTAGACGAGCTGAGGTCAAGCAACCAGATTCGGCTTCAAGCTAAATTGCTTTCAGGAAAGATGGAGATGGCACAATAGAGAAAATATAAAGTCATCAATTTTACCATGGCTAGGCACGTGCCTTCGTGCAACAAAAAGCCGGTAAGCCCCCTGACCTTGGGTTTACCGACCCGTCTCTCACTTTTGCATGTTAGCAGCTCTATGCCTTTTCGGCGAGATGCTACGTATGTTTCCCATGGCCAGCGCCCGCTTCCTCTCATGTGATTGGAGTGGCTTGGAATCCATGTGAAAGTGAGACGGTGTATATGCTTGCGTAGCATTGATGATCCCAATGGTGCTTTTGAATTTTGCAATCCCTGGTTTGCGATGTCGCTATGGGTGGCGCGTGAACTTCTGGTCGAGTGTGACTTGTATTGCGGCTTTGGCCCCTTTAGGCTCCGAGCTGTGCAGGCTGGGACGCCATATGCCATGACAAACCGAAACCTATGCCCGAGACCGCGCTGATCCTCAACCAAAATCTAAGCGGGGCCCTAAACCGTGTTTTCCCCAAAACAAAGCCTAAACCCTAAACCTTCTTGACCCGAAGCTCCGAACATCTACAACAATTCCTATCTCCCTGCCAAGTCGCACTGGACCGGAAAGCCCCTCCGACCAGCATACAGGTGTCAGGTTGATGCCTTTGACTCTTCATCAATGAGACTTCATGCAGCTCTCGTAAACAAACTTTGGTCCCATACATGTATGTACAGCACGAAATATGTTCCCAACATCATGTGCGCACCCAGGCGTGTACTCTGTGTAGTCTGCACACGACTGCCGTTTGTTTGCAGAACAAGGAACGCATCAAAGGGTGATTGGGATGGAATAGAAACTGATATGGACTTCTTTTGAGTCAGGTGGATGACAGTTACATCTACGCGGCGGCCATGGCCGGGGTCAAGGCCTTTGAGGCCACGGGCGGCATGACTTGGGTGCACATGGAGCCCAAGCTGATGAAGCGCCTTGGCCATGAAGTGGGTTCGGAAGACAAACGGTTGCTTTCTGACAATCCTGCAGACCCTCTTCATTTTTGGGATCCACGCCAAGGGATGCAGAGAAGAAAGTCAGATACGCGAAGCCCGAGCATCCCGACCCAAAGTCGCATGCGGTTGCCGTGTCTAAGGGCTGGTGCTGCTACTACCTCTGCTATACTAGCAAGCTGGACCACCGAGGAGAGAGCCTGGGCATACACCAAATGGGAAAGCGGTTGGCATCAAACTTCAAGTCTTTCAGCTGACAGCAAAGCCTGTTCTGATTTCCCAGACAGGTCCCTGTATGTCCTCTTCAAGCTTGTGTTCGCATCACCATGTTGAGCCAAATTCAGATGAGGTTCCTCTTGGGGCGATGTTTGAGAGGGAACCCGGTTTCAAGTTGCTCTTCTCTGTCTTCTATGTACTGTATTGGCTCAGCCCTGTTTTCGCTTGAGGCTTGCCTACAGAAGTCACC